CCGGCCCGGCCCCGCCCCGCCGGCCTTGGCCTTCTCGAGCGGGCCCCGCCCAGACGCCGAGGCCCCGCCCCCTCTCCCGTCTCCGCGCTCCCCGGCCTTGTCCGGCCCGGGGGTCCTGTACGCTTTTCCATTCCTTCGTCCCTGAAGTTCTGTCCGCAGGCCTTACCGGGCCTCCGTTAGCCATTCCGTTCCGCTGCACCGCGTCCAGAGTGAAACCAGGCCTCCCCGGCACCGCCGCTCGGACTCAGCTCCGCTCCAAACCTGACCTGACAGGGTTCGGTCCCGAGCCGTGCAGGCCCCGCCCCCCTCTGTAACTCCTCCCGCAGGGCCTTGGTCCCGCCCGGGACCCCCTCCACCTGCAGGCTGCAGGCAGTCTGGCCTAGCTCAGGAAGCCTGAGGCCTTGACGCCCACATTTGTTTTGAGCCAGACGTGGGGCGTGGGTCCTCGGGAACCACAGCTTAGGGGACCCCCAAATAGTGCCAGTCTCTGCCTTAAGGAGAGCAGGGACCTCAGGTCTTCCCCCTGCCCCTGGCCTCTGCCCTCTGGACAGTGCTCCTGGGGTCTCTACCCTACCTCAGCTGAGCCCCTGGGTGGCAGCCCTGCCCTCCCCGGAATAGGAGAAGGCAGCCAGGGTCCCGGAGGCAGAACTGTCTGCTCCAGCCCCTGGAAGTGGAGAAGTGACCTTCCTCTTGTCCGTTGGGATATGTTCGTGGAGTCCCAAACCTCCCCACTATTTTCCTCTGAGGAAATTGAGGCTCAGTGGTTGAGTTCACTCAGATTCGGGGAGGCATACCCATTCCCAGGATTACTGCCCTTTAACCTCTTGCCTGCATGACCCCTGCCCCTCCCCACCTTTATAAGGAGCAGGGCACTAACAGGGCTCAGGAGCTGTCAGGACAGTCCTTGGGAAGAGAAACCTGATGGCACCTAGCACAGCCGCCACCACCAGCGTCATAGGCAGAGAATTGCTGCGTGCCTAATGCCCTGCCTGGGAGACCTCTGTTACCTTTGCCCCCAGTCTGCGGATGAGAAGGAGAGGGACCCCAGAGCCTGGGCCCTGGCCTCTGCTGTCGCCCTCAGGGAAGGCCACTGTACAAGTGCAGAGAGCAGGACTGAAGGCTGAGTCCATTGCTGAGCACCCACCCCCTGCTGGACAGACGCTGGAGATCAGAGGCCTGCTCAGGCCCACACGGCTTCCCAGCTCTGCCTGCCGCGGGCCTGGGCCAGGTACAGCCTTCCCACTCTGCTTCCGGGGGCCATGACTGGCCCGCTCAGCCCAGGCCCTCAGAAGGTTGTCGCTGGGTGAAGCAGCCCGCCTGCCTGGTTTCCCACGGGCCTTCCCTCCTCCCCAAAGGAGGTGGCTTCACAGGCTGGGACCTGGAGTTTGGGGAGGGCATCCCTGGGGCAGGCAGCCCAGGCTGGGTTAGCTAGAGATTGTGACGAGGGTGCCCCGAGGGCCATCAACCGCGCCACCATCTAGGGCTAGGAGAAGAAAGGCATGACCTAGCCCGTGCCCTCCTGGCCTGGTCAGTCTGCGGGCCCACGGGTACCAGTGCCTGGCCAGGTGGGAGCATAGCCCAGGACCACTCTGGGCCCCTGCACGTGTGGGGCTGTCTGCTCATGTGCGCCGCACTGGGGCCCCACTGACCCGGCCGGGACTGCTCCGGAGCCCTGCCCTTGCACGCCACTCCTCTGCCTGCCCGGGGGCACCAGTGCAGGGCACAAAACCACAGCTGGGGTGGGGAGCAGCCCACGTGGCTAGTGGCGCTGCTGCAGGACCTCATGTGGACCGCCAGACCTGGGAGGCCTGTGGTCACAAAAGCCCAGGAAAGAGGAATGAGAAGTGGTGACTGAGGAAGGCCGGAGGGAGCCAGCCCGGGAGGCAGGGAGGCTGCCTGGAGGAGGTGACATCAGGTGGGGCTTTGTAGGAAGACGTCTGCTCAGGTGGGTGAGGACAGGATTGGGTTTGCTGAGGGTGTCTAGGCCAAGCCCACCGACCGCTCTGTCCCCCACAGAACCCCAGTGACCACCACTCCTGCGCGTCCACAGGGAGTACCAGGTGTGTGCAGTCACTGATGGAGTGAAGAGGACTCACTCAGCTGTGCCAGGGCGGCCAGCCCATCGCGGTGCTTGGGGCACGTGACCGAACAAGTCCTTATTTCTGCAACTGCGAGTCGGGGGTGCTGGCAGCCTCGGGCTCCTCTGACCTCGAGGGCCCTGTGTCCCTGGGCCCCTGCCCGGTGTGCCTCTGCCTCTGCCCACAAGCTGGCTCGTCCGATGGCATGCCCCATGCAGCCCCTGGGGTGGGGGGAGCTGCCCACACCAGGTGCATGAGCCTCAGAGAGGTCTAGAGACTGAAGCTGGAGCCAGAAGGAGGAAGGAGCGTGGGGACGTGCACCCAGCAGAGCTCTGGGAGCACGGGCTTGTCAAGCAGGACTGCAGCAGGTGGCAGGGCGCCGTGGCCAGGCGGGCCGCACGACTCTCCTGTCTACTTTAGCCCCTTACCCTCGATGGCCAGTCATGGTGTCCCTGACACTGCTGCCACCCAGCCCACTCCAAGCTCCTGTCCCCATGCCCTGACCACTGTCTCCACTGCGCTGGCCCCCATGGCCGCTCTGCCTCCTCCAGGCCTTCCCGAGGGCCTCTGTGATAGCCTCAGGCCTGCTTGCTCTGCGTGATCTCTGGGCCCCCTCGTGTGTCCAGGTCCCCGCGGCCACAGGGCCTTTGCACGAGCAGTCTGGGGTCCTGCCCGTTGCCTGGTCCTGCCTGCTTGCCCTTCCGTAGGGTTTCCTCTGACGTCCCCAGGCCACGACGAGGCCGCCCCCAGCTCCCCAGTGTTCAGCTGCAGTTGCCCTGCCAAGCAGCGGTGAGATGGCAGCAGAGCACGCCCCAGGGCTCAGCCGACTGCACACGCACACGCCCCTGCTGGGCCCCGTCTCTGCAGGACGGCTCTCTGGAGAAGGGCCTGCCCTTGCTGGGTGAGTAATCCAGAGTCAGGGAGGTGAGGACAGTCCTGGGAGCCTCCCAGTGGGTCAGCGGCAGGCGGCTCTGCCCCGGAAGGGCACACCCTCTGCTGTGGGCACATCGCTGGCTACATTCGGGGGACCCATCCCAGCACCCCTTAGCCCCTGCCCGGCCTCGCTTCCTACACCACTGGCCACTGCCGGCACCCCCGTGCTACC